AAATACCATACCTATTGAAAAAATTCATTGTTGTAGATGTCAAAACCACAAAAGAGTTAGAAAAAAAGTTAATAGTCAAATTGCAAGGTCCACAAAAGCTTATAAACAAATTATAATGGAGGCTGATGGAAAAAGCCAGTGAACACAATGGGAGCTACTACTTTTGTTCTTTTTCTAAGTGTTTACTTCAGGCCATTTTTAGGAACAAAGTGCTGAGTTAAATGGATGCTTTTACCAGTACGGGTGCATTTATGTACTAAACAAAATCTTGGCACAAATGAATAGTAGCGTGAATGTACAGATAAACTTAATTCAGCAGTAATGCTACTAACCAACGTATCATGTGTGAAGATTAATAACCCTGCACACCAAGTAATTCTTCAGGCTATTTTAATAGAGGTGTTTTTTCCATCATTTGTGAACCTGTTGTCTGTGAGGACGTGGTGGCTCAGGCACACATCAACATATAAAACATGAGAAGTTTCACATCAATATGAGAAAAAACTTCTTTACGTTGAGGGTGGCAGAGCACTGGAACAGATTGCTGGGGAGGGTCATTGAATCTCCCTCTCTGGAGATCTTCATAAGCCACCTGGACACAGTCTGCAGGTTCTCAGGTTCTGTTTTACTGTATGCACATCTGAGCATTGACTAAATATTGCTTGCTGAGGTGGAGTTAAATATTCATAGCATTTAGTCATGTTTGGTTGCCCCTTCTTTAGTGCTCCTCTTGCAAACAGAGAGGCTAAATGAAAAGCCTCTTGTGTTGGAGGAGAGGGACTTTTCACTGAATTTCTTGGACTTCTGGTTTGTCAGGTCCCAAGCACTTGCCTTTGGCCTGGCAGGTTTTTAGGAGGTGGGCTTTGGTTTATGCCAGTCTTACACAGGAGTCCATAGGATGAGGAGACTGAAACACACGTTTGCACTGTAAGGCAACTGTTGCATTTTAGAGGAAGAACAGTTGGGCATTTTCATGACACCTGATGCTTTACAGGGACTGTAAAAATAGATATGTGACATTGTGTCCTCTTTCCTCCCTGCGTCTTATTCCAAAACCCTTAACCCTCTGCTGTAGTGAGACCAAGCTCAGTCCTGTCTGAGCTTCTCAGTGAATGACTGTTCAAAACAGGTTATTGGCTGAAGTGTCTTTACTAAAAGGACATCAGTGTTTGTGGAGTTAAACTGACTTTCTAGAATGCTGTTTTTATCCTTATGTGGTGTCCTTGCTCGTCTTGAGCTTTTGCTGTGGAAGCTGGTAGAACATCAGCATTTGTGGGTAAGCAAGAACACACCTGGCCTTGCTAATGACTGTTCAGTGCCATTTAAAGGCTGAGCAGAGGTGAAGGCTGTATTTACAAAGTAAAAATTGCACTAGTCTGAAAGACAGCATGTAGTCGCAATGAAATATGAGTCAGAATGCAATTCTCAGCATATTTTAGGATCCCAGGACCAAAAGTGAAATCCATAATAGTTTGCTTACCACTGATGCTTGAAGCACTGAGACTTGTTAGCTATCCCATGACTGACCTTCAAGATCTCTAGGTTCTTTCTCTTTGCTTTCTGCTTCCATGAGGACATCTGCCTGACCATCTACGTGCCAGGCTCTTAACCAGATGTCTTTTGGCAGAAGGGATTAGAAATTGGCAGTGCTGAACAGAAGTTACCTCAAAGAATCCTTAGATGTTATCTGGATTAGGATCAAAATCTTATCTACTCCATTGGGCAGCAACCATGTTGCTAACATGCCATCATTGAAATAGGAGGCTCAGCCTCTGCAGGAATGATTTCTGATGATCATTAAGTACTGCCACATAAAAAATCAGGCTGGTTTGAGGGTGTAGGCTATCATCCAATTAAAGCAGTCTTTATGGACAACAGTGTGAAATACATGAGGCAAAAATGAAACTGTATAAGGTTGATGGGTTTTTCCCTTCCCCTAGTTTACACATTTTACTCCATAGAGGGAAATTAAAGATTCCTGTCTGTGATTCCAAGTTTACATCTGACTTGTTTTGTTTCTCTTTTTTTTTATTTGTCTTATAAATGAGGTGCTAGCTTTACAAGAAAATTGGAAACACCTGTGGTTTGTTCCTGCAAGGTAGTGTGGCACACTCTTGCAGTGACATCTTTCTATAGTGGAAGAATTAAATGCTTTTAAAGTTCGGTCTGAGAACTCAAAATGTTGTATTTTCTTTTTGTCTGAGGATTTTTTTTTTCTTTCTTTTCAGCAAATTGTTTAACAAAAGATTGATACGTGGAAAGAACATTTTACAAAGACATATGCTTTTCAATTGAAAATTCCTGCAGAAACCTTTGGATGAATTTATAGGAAGTTTTATCTGGTCCTAGCTGTTAGAACTAATTAATCTTGGAATAAATATAGCATGAATACTCTAGTGTAGAGATGAGGCACAATTATTAATTATTAGTCAGTGCTGTAAGGCTGGAAGATAAATACTCAGGGGAAAATCTTTCCTAAAACTCAAATTGAAATATGCAAACAAATATATCGGGGTGGCTATTTCCAGAAGTACTAGCAGTGACTAGGTGTTTATCTTCCCCTGACACTCAGCATTAAGCACCTAATTGCTGTGTCTTAGAAAATGCCCACAAATTATAAAGTAACTGCTCAGTTTTCTGGAAGGTTCAGCTGAATTTCCTACATGTTTGCAATCTTCCACCAACAGAAGGTCACTACAGAAATCTGAGCTTCTGAAACCTGCTGTCAGTTTCTTGACCTCCAAGTGAAGGCCTAGACAGCTTAATTGCTCGGTGTCTTTTCAATCCATTTTTAAACCATGAAAGCCAGCTCTTAGCGAAACATTAGAAACAGTTTTCTTTCGGACATGTTAACTAAATCTGGGTTCTGGGGGTTTAGCGTATTGCAGGAGGAATTTCATTCATGTTTCCCCTTTTTCGTTATTCGTGAATTATTCATGAATTATGAGGGTTTAATATTTGCAAATTGGGTATTTTTATTAATACCTGACTTTTTGTTAGAATAGGTAACTGACTTTTTCAAGCAGCTGGTAAATGCTGACCTGGTCTGTGCTAATATTTCAGCCTGGCCTTTCAAAGAGAAACATCAAACTAATTGTGTTGTGCTTCTGCTAGATTACACATCTGAGGTGCCTCTTACCTCTCAGTTCCCTGGGAACGATACAGTACAGCTCACTGTCTAGGTTTCTCTTTGCTGTCTGAATCTTCAGGTAGGACGCCTAGATCCTGGTGGAGGTGGGACAGGTGTGTGAAGAGGTTAAAGAAAGTAAATGTGTATCTGTGTGTCTGGTTTCATATCTATGAATTCATCTGGATCATTTATCTATGAAGTACTGCAGACTACATACAATTTCTTAACTTACCTATTTATGAACAACCCTCACCCCCAAATTATTCAGAGCAGAATGAATAAATAATGTATCTGTGTGATCTAAAAAAGAATGAAATGAGCTAGATATTTCTGGTAAGTTGGTGAAGCGCTTATTGTTTTCTCTTTTTTGTTTTCTTCTTTTACCCAAAAAATAGACATACTAGGAAGAGGCAAGATATGAAGAAATCTTGTGGGGTTGTTTTTTGTTGTTTTAAAGTTTGTCCTTTGAAGTTTGGTGTTGCTGGTTTTTTGTTTTGTCTTTTGAGCAGAAGGGTTCCATACCAGTCTCTTGGTGGTAAGTAAGCTTCAAACAGAAATACATGGTAGAGCTGATCACCAGTATTACTGTAAACTGTATGCAGTAGTTTTGGAGCAGCCACAGCATATAAGCTGCAGGTATTTAAAACTGTTCTTTCCATGTTATTTTTTTTCTCAAAATTTCTGTTCCAGAAAACTAATTTAAAGTTATCCCTGATTTTGACTGAAGTCTTGAGATATTGTGATTTTTAAAATAATAATTTCTGTCACCTATTAACAATTCTTACAAAAGCCTTTCTCTGTAGTAGAATTACTGTAAGTTATGAGGAAAAACAGTAGCTGATGTCGAGTATTCTAAATATTACATATGGTTTAAGAAGTACTAGATTTTGTAGGGTTTCAGAGCTAGAATAAAAAGGGTTAAAAATGAAACCCCTTAGTGCGAGGGCTTCCAGGGTTGATTATGCTTATTAAAGCTGAATACTATGCTTTCTGACCAGCTGCTTCTGCAGCACAAATCTCAGTTTACTGTGGAAATTTTTTGCTTACAGGAAAAATCCTAGTACAAATGCTGTTGGCTGTGGTTAGAAGTGGCACTTGAATATCAGCATGTTCTTTTGTCAATCAAAACATCCTTCTGAACGGTTCAGCTAGTGGTAGCAGGGGATGTGCTAAGGCTCTTAATGAAAATGTGAGCCTGGCTTTTCATCACAGAAGAATCTGAGTTGATTTTATAGAGGAATAAAAAAATGGAAGTTTTTCTGTCATTGCAGTCTTTCCCTGGAAAGTTAAGCACCAGCTATACCTTCTGTACCTCTCTGTTGTGCATTCACTGCCTGTAGCATAAACATTTCATGGAAAAGTACACTTTTTGCCTTCAGATTTTCCATTCTTGCTAGAAGAGAACAGTAGCTTGTGTTCTGAAGCTGTTGACTGAGAATACAGTATTTTTACATGCTTTAGTTATAAGACCTGTAGAAGACAGCATTAGTGAACAAACAATATTAACATTTCTGAATAGTCTGTCCTACTGGCCCAGATAGTCATATTTCTAGAAAAAAATGGCTGAAAGTGTAAGTCTGAAAAGTTTGTTGCAAAGTAATCACTAGAGAATGTCTTTTAAAATTTATCTTTAAAATAAAATATTTGTCTTAGTTTTACCTTGAATGTATCTACTGAGCAGTGGTAACACTAAATATGCTTGTACATTGCAATTTCAACATTACAACAGTATGGAGGTGCTTTTCCAGTGTATATATGTCTCAGTGAAACAAAAATCCTGCTTCCTATTTTTGGTACCACGTAGCTGTACAAGGATGTCGTTGTCTGATGTGATCTGTATTAACCTCTGCTCTCTGCTTTGTCTTTCCAGCACTGGCTTGAGCCCAACAAGTCCATCATCAAGCAAATGAAATGTAAGTGTTGAGAGTTCATGTTTTAGAAATGCCCAGAAGTTTTCCTGTGCTTCCACACAGTAACTTAGTGTCGTGGTTTAAACCCAGTCAGGTAGCTTGTTCACTCACTCCCAGTGAGTGGTGCCGAGCTGACAACAATCGAGGTCCGTGTCCGTCTCCCCCCCTGCCTCCCCGCACCGGGGCTCTCCCCTTCCCCGCTCCCGGAGGAACGGGGAGGAGGATCGAGAGAGTGCAACTCCTACGGGTTGAGACAAAAACAGTCCAGCAACAAATCACCACCGCTACTATCAGCTACAACAATGATAAGGGAAAATAACAAGGGAAGAGAATACGATACCACCGGCCAAGAGAAACGAGCTCCACCCGGAAACCCCTGTCCTTCCGGGTCACTCCCAGTTACCCCTCACCCCGGGCATGACGTGCTGTGGTATGGAATACCTCCCCGGCTAGCCCGGGTCAGGCGCCCCGTCTCTGCTTCCTCACAGCCTCCCCTCCTCCCTGGCAGAGCATGAGCCTCACAGAGTCCTTGGTCAGGGTAAACATCACTTAGCAACAACCGAGAACATCGGCTTCACCAACACTGTTCTCAAACTGGAAGTCAAAACACAGCACTGTACCAGTTAACACAAAGGAAAAACATGACTGCTACTGCGGAACCCAGGACACTTAGAATATGCTTAATTTGTTTCTTGGTGCAAATAGGCCCTTTGTGTCCTATCTAGGCTCCTAAAAACTCAGGGTACTCTCATTACACGGTCTTACAGTGCTCTGCACACCAAGAGCTTCCACTTACTGCTCAGAGCTAGAGGCAGATGTGTGTAGGGTGGCAGATCTGATTGGAAGACCTGTACGTTCTTGGCTTTTGTTTTCAGTCAGACGCCACTGGGAGATGGCAGTGAAATGTGGAATGTGGCAGTCTGCTTCTGGGTCTTTCTGGTTTGCTCTCTTTCTGCTGTCTCCTACTTCCTAACAATGCAGAGCACTGGTCTGAGATTACTGTTACCGTCCAGCAAACTCAAGTGCTGTGCATTACTGCTTTCACCCAACAAAGTGAAGCTCATGTTTCTTGTTGCACTTTGCATAGGAACATATTCAGGAACTCTGCTACCAGATGCACTGAGGGTGTTTTGATTTATTCAGAACATCTCTGCCTGCATAGAGATGGTGCCTAGATGTGATTGATGGTACTCCATAAATTCCATAGATTCACTGATGTGATGGTCTTATCAGAGGACTTGTGTGGCTTTTGGGTAAATCCTAATCAAACCTCTGAAGACTGAAAAATGATCATGTAGGAAATAGCAAAACAGAATGCAGCTAGTATGAGATTAGTTGTCACAGTGAAAATTTTTCAACAGCAACAGCAGCAGAGAATGATATGGTAACAAAGGAGTTTTGCTGTCAGCCTTAGATTCAGGACACAGGAGTAGAATTAACTACTGTGATCGGCTTTTTATAAGCAATTTCAGGTTAATACTAGTGTAAGTTAACTATATTTTTTGTCACAGATAGAGGACTTCAGTTGCTACAATAGCCCTTTAAGGAAACAAAACATATATATATATATAAAATGCATGTGTAGAATTAATGGAGATTACACGTAAATATATCTTTTTCTCCCACAGGTTTCAAGGATGTTTTTGTAAGCATTTCACATCAGGAACCTCTTGCTTTATTTTTGTAAAAACATACTGTATTAATGTAGAAAATAAATTTTTAAAGGCACACAAGGTTAATTCATATTTTGTCTCAAAATACACAGTTTTCTAGGAAAAGGTTTAGACTCAGAAGAAGAAATTAACCGTATTCATTTGAAAAGCATCAGAGTCGCAGGTGACACACGTGAGGACTGAAATTAGAATCAGGTGGAAAATGTAAAAACTGAAACCATGAAGTGAATGGTTAATAGAACATATATTATGTATATATGACTTCTAGGAGAAATGGTGGCAGAAGGCTGTTCACAGTGATTGTATGTAAGAATGGACTTTCATCTCCTCTGCTGCAAGAGTAGGTTATATTAATACTAATGATTCAAAATGTTCTAAATTCAGTTGAATGCTCAAATTTTCATAGGATTATGGCAAATTTGAAAATTTGCTGCATGCTTGATCTCAGCTACTCTTTGTGAGGAGCTTCATTTTCCCCTAACACAGTAACAAGTTTTTCAGTTTATTCATACACCTCGGTATTGACAAATATACAGAGCAGAAAAGGAATGACTGGGAGTAGTGTTCTAATACAAATTTCAGTAGGTATGAGATTTCGTGGGCCTCAGTAGTATATGAATCATTCAGGTATAGTCCCTCTACATAGTCAGATTGTACAGAAATCACAATTCGGCAGTTATATGATTCTGTTGGTGGGATAGAATGTTGTATATTTGAAGTCTTCGTAGGCTCTTGTGCGGTGCTCTACCATTTTAATTTCCTTAGCTTTGGCAAAGATTGTTTTAAACTCATAATAACCCTGGGATATGACAGAATCTTCCAGAATATTTTAAATTTTGTCTTAATCACATATGAAACCTGGTTCAACAGAGAAGAATTAAAATGTCGTTTTTTTTCTGTCAATCTCTACCTTTGCGTATTCCACCTTCACTCAAATGTTTGTGTCAAAACATGATGTGTAAAATCTAGGTCTAATTTTTACCACTGATTCTGCCAGAGAGTGGAAATTTTAGGCTCTGAGAAATGTCCTGAACCACTGCTGGTCTTCTTTTACAAGTTGAAGCTGCTTGCTGGCCAGCAATTGATAGCTGTGAGCACCATGCTTCCAGCAGTGGTTGAAAAACTAAAACGTTGCATGAGGTAGCTGCATCTTTGTGGTTCTAGATAAAGACTTTTGAAACCTGTTTTTCTATTGTTTTGCATGTTTTTATGTATGCTGTAATCTCCCAGATGCTGGCAGTAAAGCTCTTCACCATTTGTCCGTCTTATGTTTTTTACTTATTTTCTGCCTAGGAATGTCTTGGTGTAAATGCTAGTGCTGGTCACATCAGCACTAATGTTTAAGCAAAGAACAGAGTTTTCCCATGCACTTTCCCTCTCTCTTTTTTTCAATAAGTTTGAAGGTTATTCTGCATAATAAGTATGCATCTATCCTGTAATCTGCTTTGTGGGAAATGTCCAACTCTATGGGTTTTGATCTTGATGACAGAATCAATTCTGTTGCTTTGGTGTGCAGTAGTTCAAATTTCATGTTTTTCTTGCTGCTTTACATGTCAGTTGATCTGAGAGAGTAATGCAAAAAGGATGCTTTGCTGTGTCAGGCCACTGGAATTTGTTAATTTCCCGAATCTCTAATGCTATTATAAAGTGTGAAAAGAAATGGGATGAATCAGGGAAAGCAAGAACCCGGATGCAGAAATGGGTTGTGCAAAACCTCCTAAAGATTCTTAAATCTCAAAGTTGTCATCAGTGTTTGTGTCTAAGTACAAATGTAAAGAGTTTATTCAGATATGCACAGTGAAAACATAAAGATTTGGCGTTACTCCGAATGATGCATATTATATATGTATGATTCTTATTAACGTGCTTTAAAGCATTTTTATAACTGCTTGATGAAAATCCACCTTTCTGTCTTTCTCTCCTTTCTTCCATCATTCCTTCCTTCCTGTATCTCTTATGCATGAAATAAAAACACTGGGCAGTGTTCTGTCTTAAACATGCTCACCAAGTGATGTGGTCAAACAGCCAATTCATTTTATAAGTGAAGAGGTATATGGAAACAGCAGTATATGTCTCCCGGTGCCCCAGAGATCCTTCTGCAGCATCAGTGAACATGAAGACTGTTTCAGTGTAATGATTTTTTTGGTTTGGTTTGGTTTGGGTTTGTTGTTTGCTTGTTTGTTTTTTTGTTTTTTTTCCCTGATGTTCACTACCTTCACTACCTTTTGGTAGGTATAGTGTAGCTCAGAGAATACGTAACATCAAGGAGAGATGCAGAAAGTTTTCTGAAACATCGCATTCCCAGGGCTATGATGATAATTTAAACATCTGCTTTTGGCTTTCAGTATCCATCTGAATCCATGTTTAATCAAAAAAACAACACTGCCAGTAAAGCTCTTTACAGAACCTAATATTCATGCTGGATGAAAAGCAAGTTGTTAAAAACAAACAGGAAACCTTCCCAAAAGTGGCAGCTGCGAATCTTCTGTCCTTCTCCCTCTTTGGTTCACAATTCTAAAACTTCAGCCAAGTTTTTCACCATCTTTTTTTTCTGTTGTTTAAAAACCAATTTTTCTCTTACAGAAAGATAGTATTTCAGTTTGTCTTTCTATGAAGAAAATGTGCATATTTTCTTAGGCTTATGATCTACCTTTTGATCTACACAGAAGAAGAGTGATTCAGTGGGCTTTGCTTAAAAATGAATGCATGGAAGATGCATTCTCTTATACATTGATACCTGTGCCAAGGGGTGCAGGTCCCATCTCCCCATTTGTTTTGATCAGGGTATTAGAGTTTCGGTTTTTAGCTAGGAGATACTTATAGTTTCATGTATATTGGATAGTTTGTCTTAGTTGAATGCCACTGAAATAAACCCTGAAAGACATATCAGTTACCTAGAAACCTTCCATGCTGTATGTGTAGTTCATTCATGAGGGTCTAGGTCAGGACTGGTCTGAACATTTGGTATAATTTAAATGAGTTTATTTGTTCTTTTGCCTTCATCTTTTATGTTCTGCTAGCACATAAACTGGCAAATTAATAGCCCTATTCAGTGGAGTTTGCAGTCAGTACTATTTTCCATGTTAATGTCTTTTGCAGTTACTGCAGTTGTGAATATTTCTTAGTGAAAAAGCAAAGCCTGTGATGGTAGGAAATTCTGACAAAGCCTCAGGCATTTCACTATACTGGCTGCTCCTTATCTGATAGGTAAAGGACCAGTCTGAAAGAAAAAGCTTATAGCTGTTCTAAAACTAATTATATTCAGGCTAGTTTTGAAGACATGTTCCTCTGTAAATTGAGTTCTGTTTTGGGAAGATTTGTTGTTAATGTTTCCACTTTAATGTGCGAGTAAGTAGTAGAAAGTAATTTTGCTTTCAAGGAACAGAGGAATTGTCTGGCTTGACAATCTCATTTCTTGAGCTGTGCAATTCACTGCCTGTCTTGCTTTCCACTGCAAGAATGTAGTGAATGAGAGAATATGAGGTTCTCATGTGCGTTTGTCTAGTGGTGTAAAATCTGTAAGACAAAAACCTTACTAAATGTCTATATATCATCAAATGTGCGTTTGGAGGAACATTAGGCTTATGATCCATTTTAAAATGAAGATGGAGAAGAAAGTAGATAGCTGTGGGGGTCACTTCTTCTCCTTTCAAGTGCTCATTCTTTTGGGCAGGTTTTCTAACTGGGAAAAAAAGAACAGAAAAAAGAGGATCCTATTTCACTGTGTAGTTATAGAGTACCTTCTTATTTAATTTCCAGAGGTGAATTGGATGGAGGGGATCATATTATTTTTAAAATTTCAAAATTGCCATACTTGTAGCAATTGCTGAGGGAAGACCTCTGGCAGTCTGCAGCAGCCTTGTTTTGTATTGCTTGCTGCACTGCTGAGGAGGAATATTGTTACAGAGGCTTGAGTCTAGGAAATGTTTCAAAGTAGGCTTCAAACTGCCTTGCCAAATCTTGCCGATCTGCCTATTCTGTGCACTGGTGTACACTTCTGTCTACGAGGAAAACATTTCCTGTTAACTGAGTCAGGGCTATTTGATTTAGTCCGGTGTATGCTGTCCTTTCCTCACAATGATACTCCGTGCATACAGGGCAGCTGTTGTTTTTCTCTGGTTACCACAGACTGCCAGAATACGGCTCTTTTTTTTTTTACCACAGCCAGAAAATTTAATCGTTTCATTGACATCCAAAATTCAGGTAAAATTCAATGCATTTTTAGAATCTTGCAGTATGCTTGTACTAGCTAGGGTCCTGCAGAGCCATGCACTAACTGTTCTTATGTCTGCATCCCTATTTCGACCACAAACTAATTCTAATCTTCCAGGACAGGTAAAAGTTTGGGATTTTTTTGTTTTGTTTTGTTTGCCTTTTTTTTTTTCTTTTCCTGAGGAAGAGCTCTTGCTCGGTTAATACTGGTTGTTTCTTCAATCATGTTTTGTGAGTGCAACCGTATTATAAAAGTCCAAGTTTTCTCTCTTGCTTAGATTTAAGAATCTTATTGCTAAGAGGCAGAACTATTTAAGATGACTTACATTATCTTTTGCTTTGTCCAGGCAACATGACTCCTTAATCTCTGGATGACTGTTTTCCTTTCTTGGGCATTGAATTTGGTTTACCTTCTAGTTTGCCACTAAAGGGCAGGGAGGACATAACAGTGTTCTCTGTTTTGCAGTCTACGTCCAATTATTGTAAGACACTGCTGCAGTCATGTCTAAGAAGCTGAAGCCCACAGAAAGCAGTCTGAGTGTTTCTCTTGCCCTCAGAGGACCTGATTAGCTTGAATGTTCGAAGGATCTCTAGGGAACAATTAAGGCTTGTTTTTATTCTTCCAGTTCCTATTGTTTGTTTCTATTTGTTGTTTCCTTACTTTCTGTTTTTTTTCCCTGTGTTTTTTATCTCTTCATCCCGATCTCTTCTGATATTTCTCCTTGTGTCTTCAATGAACAATTATTTAAACAAGTAAAAAAATTGTGAAATCAGCAGTTTTTGTTGAGGCTGAAAGTAGTTAAAAAAAGTGCAACATGAGGTCTTGAAAGGGGAAAATATTCCTACGTTGTCATAAGCACTCAAACCGTTCAAAAGATACCTGCTGTAATGAAAGATGTAATGCATTTTTATTTTCTGTTGCTTTTGTACATCACATGGAACTATCTGATCTCCAGTCCTGTGTTTCTGGAAGACTGCAACATACATGTAAATACTGCAGTCAGAGTAGCTGGAAGAGGTATCATATGTTTATAGAACTAATTTGCACGTGCAGTTTATACAAGTCAGTGAGCAAGTAAGCTTAAGGAGATTGTACAGTAAAATGTTGTGGTATCTTTATGATTACTTTTATATATTATAATGGCTAAAAAGTAATCTTCTGTTTCACCTGTTCTCTTCCTTCATTTTCTCTGTAATTTTCTTTGCCCTGTTCTTTAACCTTCCGTTCTTTTTCTCATGTGAAAGCACTGTCTCTTCCAGATTTAGGAAGTTAGATTGACTGAGTGCATTCAGAATACATTAAGACAAGGGACTTTTGAATCTAACTAGAATATTATAATCCTGTATTTTACTATGAAGTAAAGTTACATGCATGCTTTCGTTTTAAAAAAAAAACACAAACCAAACCCCAAACCTAAAACCACCCAACTAAAACCCCACCTCCCGCTTGAAAGGAAGGGTCTATAGAGTATGGGTGTAAATATGCAGAAAGTTAATTTCATAGTTAAATATTACAATAAAAGGATTATAATTTTGCACTCAGTTCTGTAGGACACTTCCAAATGAGCACAGTTATTACATGTTCCCATTTTGTTTGAAGCCTCAGCTTTTCTTCAATTTCTGTCTACTTAAAAATGGCTGTGCTGGTAAACGTTTTGGTAAAGGACCCCTGCCTGGCTTACTTTTCCCCCCACACTATTTACCTTTTGAAGATGTGGTTATTTTCCTTCTCACTTCAAACTGAGAAGTGGAATTTAAAACATGAACATTACATGGTTACAGACAGTTCTGAGGGCTCTGCCTACCTGCATATTGTGCGTGATGTGACATTTTTAAACCTTCTACATGGTTTTCACACACCTTTTAGCCTAACATGATTATCACAAGATGCCTCTTTGGTGGGATTAATAGTCTTCAATTTGTTTTCTGTCCCTCCTGTAATCACTGAAAGATCAATTGGCCTAAGATAAGATAATATCTTGAATACTGTCAGACATACAACAGTGGGATATAAAGCTATGTTCATTAATGTAAAACTGAGAGATACTAATTGCAGAATTGAAATAATTCCTGTTACTTGGTCTTCTTTTTGTTTTGTTGGGAATTTTTTTTTTTCAAGAGGAAGTATTATACTTAAGGCCTGATATTATTGCCATAGCTGAAAAATAGGTAATGTAGTCTTACTAAATACTGTAAACAATAACAGTTCTGTTGTCTCTAGCTTCTTTAACCAAATTTAATTAATGGTTTCTTCCATTTTGTAATCTAGGTATTATCATTGTCAGGAATAACAAATATAGATAACACCTTTTGTATCTCTATGACAAGATGCAACTGCTTCCTGTTTATTAAAAAAAATAGCACAAATGTTTTTTGTACTTCTTATATCAAACAAAAATCTTGTGAGGTGCAAATCTCTTTATAAATTGATTTGCCTAGGTTAGGTCTATTTTGCACATGCTTTGGCCACCTTTGTCATATATTCTCTTCATACATACATACGTATAGTATTTATTGGTTTATTTGAATCACTGCCTGATGTTTCAGAGCTAGCCATCACACCAGCTGCTTTTGAAGACTCTTGGAGTTTATTCCTTCCAAGTGGCTGAGACAATGTTTGCTACTGTTCTCATGCTTTATCTTTATAATGTTTCAGCTCATCCACCATTTACCATGTGCTTTAGAGTGAAATTCTACCCACATGAACCCCTGAAGATTAAAGAAGAGCTCACCAGGTATTTGTTCTGTTTGTTTGTTTGTCTGTGCATTTAATGTATGTCTTCTAACAAGTTCAAAATCAGACTGTGTATTGTGTAGGGTAGGGTTCTCACTTTTTATGCTAAAATACTAGAGCAAACAGCCATTTGCGCTGTTGGTAGCTTTTTTACTTATTGTGGTACCTATAGATTTTTAAAAACAGTTTAAGGTGATATTTTTGTAACATACAGCGAAGTAGTCATGTTGTTGAAGAACTCTCAGAAGGAGAAACAATGGTCAAATGACTAGAGAAGGATTATTCTGACTTTTACCCTGACAAGGATTATGGTCTTGAGTAAGTTCCTTCTGGGTCTTAGTTTTGGTTTGCTTATTGAAATCACCTATGAAGTTTAATTCAGTAATGGCCTTAACTCTTTCAACAGGAGCATGTATAGTCCCACTTAATTTTCTCTCGTGTATATCTTTAGGACCACAACCAAGATAGTATTTTTAACGTACTGGTAGACCTCTAGCAAACTGATGTAGAAGTGCAATATATTTATGTTTTTAAAGTAAAGCTGTTCTGGAAGTTGAGAGTTCTTTTTGCTTATATTGGGATTTTCTAGATTATGCTGTAAAAATAGCCATATATACGTCAAAATAAAGTCATACATAATAAATGGGAGTTTTGTCCTTCCTACTAGCCATTGTGACTATTTTGTTGCTTTGGGTACTTTTCAAGAAATGCAATTGGGGAAGAATGTAGGAAAACAACAGCTCTTTTGACCTGTGCATTAGGTGTGCAGGACTACATTACACATGCCTTGCAATGTTGCTAGTCAGGAGGTCGCACTGGAGTTGCATGTCGCAGAAGCATGGAGCCCCTGAACACTTGTTGCACCGACTTCTTCACTGATGCTTTCCCCCGTCCCTGCAAATTCTTATGCTCATGAGTCACTGCATGAATGGGAGTGATCCCATTATCACTGGTCTCATTCTTAATAAGTTTCAGGAACAGCTTGCATTCTGCTGAATGGGAAGTTTATAGTTTGTACAGAGCAGCTGGAACATACAGTTCACATTATAGCTATTTATCTTCGGTGGAATACTGAAACTGTTCAACTGTGTGAATAGGTTGTAGACCAGGAAATCAATGAATTTTCATGATTTCTTAGTCTTTGTTCTTGGATGAACATTTTACTTGTTATGAGCCAGAGTATAAACTTCATGTAAACCTTCCTCATTGAGGAGTCTTAATTAATTGACTTTTTTTAAAAAAAAACAAAAAACTATTTGGATACCCTCCCAGGAGAAGTTTTATTGAAATGCAAAGAATCTAGAATTAGCTCACTGAAGTGTATTGTGCTGCCAGTATGTTTTAGGCTTTGCTGGAACCTTTCAAATTAATTTTTAAAGTCCAGCTGCTGTATGAAAAAATGTTTTATGGTCTTCAGTTAAAACCAATACTATTAAGACTTAAAAAGGAGAAATAACTAATCTTTTCACCTGTCCACCTTGTGCACATGATGCCTTTTCATATATTATCAGCTTTATAGTTTCCCAGTGTTGCTATTTGGAGGCTTTGCTTTGTGTCTGCCCAGGTCTCTTACACGATAACAAAGTACAGGAAATGCTCCTGAAATGAGTGAATGATGTGTAGTCATGTAATTCACCTCTGAGAATTTGTTTCATCATCTAAAGCAGAGGGTCAGATTCAAGGTGACACTCTAAATTGGCTTCAGTTTTGGTTTTTTTTTTCTTGTATCACAACGATAGGTGAAATTCAAGAAGAAAAATGCCTGTTAGTGTGTGACAGAGGGAAGCAATGAAAACTTGAAAGCTAATTGGCTTTTTGGTGGATGTAAATTTTTTATTCTTTTTTAATCTCTGTTGTCTTCACTGAGCAATCATCTTTATTTCAGTGTGTTCTTAAAATTATTTGAAAATAAATTAATAACATTGTCACCCTTTGGCTTAAAGCCATCTGTACTTCATAGCTGTATATATAGTCAGCTGAGTCTGAGTACTAATGCTTTGCATTTCTGCTACTCTCCATGTCTAAGCATGTAAGAAAGCTGCTTGTTTGTTTCTTCAGTTGGGTAGAAATCTGATGGGTTTCTGTAGTCCCATTTAGATAATGAAATTAAGATACAGTAAGACATCCTGTTCTGGACTCTTTGGTTCAGAATATTAATTAACCCTGTCTAAATCCCCCATGTGGATTATTGTCAATGCAGTCTTTGTAAAGGCTTTATCGGAATAAATCTTTAATCAAGTACCATAGAGGCCTCAAAGAGACATCTGTGTATTAAAAAGAGCTGTTTTTCCTACTCTTCCATAGCAATATCTGATGTAAAAAAAAATAAAAAATAAATCTGTCCAGTACATGAAGCTGTGTGTGTATGGGATAAATTATTTGATTTCTGTGAAAATAGTATCACATGTATTGAAATGCTATACAGGATTTAGACATCACTGACAGAATATTTCTCACCTCAGATTACTCCCACTTCATTTGTATCCTACCTTTGGTGGGCTGTGCTGGACTGTAATTCTTGAGTTAGTTTGTGGTTTTACAGTTGGAGCTATTTTCAGGAAATAAAGATGGAGAATTACATAGTTGAAGTTATCCCTCTGTTTATGATAGTGTAGGAAAAAAATTGTACGAACCTGAAGAAGTCTGCATACACTGTGTTCAGAGGCCAGGAGTGCCTTGGGCAAAGGACCGAGACACGTGCTTGCCTGTCATTTTGTTCCACTGCTAAGGATGCCTGTGGATATTGTTAGTCATGTCGTACCACTCCAGCTGCTTACTTTCATCTTCCCTCATTTTAATTAATAATCACTTTCATAGCTATGCTTTTGAAGTAAAATCAGTGCCTGCCTCTGGCTGTTAAGGCATTTAGAGGTATTATTGCTAAATAGTCAGCTGGCGTTAGGATTGTAATTCACAAGTTACTTTCAGTGGCCATGGGCTTGTCACCCTGAGCTCTCTGGTTTGTGTAGTAACAGACTACATGAATCCTGACTTGTCAACAAAGTCCAAATCTTAAGGCACACCAGTGCTTAACTTCCTTAACTCATCTCTTTAACTTGTGTCAGCATGGATTTAGACGATCGATATGTCCTTATTTTTGGAAATACTGCTTGCTGAGGGGGACAGTGAAGCCATACATGTTTGAAACATGATTGAGAGACCCTAAAGACACACTATTTCTTTTCAATAGTTGAAGTAATCAGGCAGTTTTTTCAGCATGTTTAAGAACTGTGATGAGAAAGTGGCAAGGATTTAACCTATTTTGCTGAAATGATTTGGCCTCTGAATTTATTTCAGGTGCACTGGAGGCTTAGCAGATTGCAACGCTAACAGTGAATACAGACTTTTGAACACTTTGTGTATCTTTTAAACAGAGAGAGGTGTTCAGCCTCAGTAGAAGTGTGATATTTCTCTATGCCACGACATGTAGCCATTTCTGAGAGTCTGACTTCTGCTTCATGTGTAGTATGTGGAAGGTATCGGGGTCTTCTGAGAGGTGTGGCTATGGCTTTCTAGATCTGATTGTCTGGTACTTATAGGTGGCATGGAGTCAGAACAAAGTACTTTAGTTTCAGAAAACGGCATTTAACTGGCTTCGCTGGGCATCCCTAATGAAAGTAATCACTACTAGTTTTTAAGCAGGCAATAGCAACATGACACCAGGTCCTCCCATCTCCTTTGTTTACTGTAAAACTATGCAAACCTGTAAAACAGAATTTCAGTTTCTTTTCCTGTTAAATCGGCATCTGCTCTGCAGCCTGTTTTCTGGCTGATGCTGCACATGCTTGGGTAGAGACCTTGAATACATATATTTCCAGTATTACTGTTAATTTCCTTTTCTGCTGATTTTCTTTCTACTTTCTTCTTTTTCCTTTTTCTTTTTTTTTTAAATCTTTGTGGTACATTCCAGGTCTTTTTCCCAGAGAGCATGGTACACTTCACAGTGAGAGGGGATGTTTCTTTAGCTATGTGTACAGAACCATGTGCAGAGAAAAGGATATTCCAGAGCTCACTATGATGGTCAAGATTATTCTGCTGGCATGGCGTACAAAGATACAAAATTGTTGTAAAGGAAGTTGTAACTACGGAGGTCATTCAGTCTGTATGCACAGCTTCCCACTATGCTCTCTGAAAGCACATTTTTTTTTGCTATGTGCCTCTCTTCCTATTCTTTTATCACAGATCAGTGCCCTGGGAGGGTCCACAGCTGGGAAAGCCTGAGATGTTGTGTGTGAACAGAATGGGAACAGTTAAGAGAGTGTGAACAGATGAATCAAAAGAATGGTCCTATCTGGGCACAAAATTTTACTATTTTTTTTTTTTCAGGGCTCTTGCTTAGGTAATAAATAAATCAGTGTTTGTTCTTTCTTATGTAATAAAGCAGCTCAAGGCCTCATGCCTTCTTATCTCCAAATCCCTACATTATACTGTATGTATAATTAAAATGAGGGAATATGAGGTCATTTGAGGTCCCAAAGGAATAATCTTAAATGCCACAGATAATACTGTATCAGCAGTAACCCATGACTATTGTAGGAAAAACAGACCTAGAAAATGGCATGGGTGAGTAGCTGGTGGAATTAACCAAAGGTGGATTATTTCAACTAGCTTTCATCATGCTGTTTTTCCTAACCCATATTTCCTAATCCAAGAAGCAGTTCTTCAATCACTAGGCTGTCATAAAACAGTGTAATGAGTACTTTGATACAAGAAAAGCAGATAAAAAATGTTTAACTGGAAGTCATATAAAATGACAAAGACTTGGGGTATGTAAACATGGCAAATTCAAGGGTTCTGAATGAGCTAGCTTGGGCAAGGAAGAGCAATACAGCTGCATGCATGCATGCAATGCTCCACTGCTCCTATCTCAAGCAGTTGCACTTGTTACTGCCTTGTGTTGGAAGAGCCTAGTGCTTTCTTTTCAGAAGCAGGAGGGCAGTTGAGACTGATAGTGCTCCAGCTGGTTGTTGATGCTTGAATATCAAGCCATTATTTGCAAGT